ACAAAATAAATTTTTAAAATTTTATATTATCTACGCTATTATTCGTACCATTTTTAGAGTGTCATGCATCCGATGCAGTTAATACATTCATAAGTAGTTTTATAATCCGACGCTTAATACTAAAATTGTAACAGTGGTCTGTATTCCATTGCATATTAAGTGCAAGTATAATTTGATAGTTAATTTAAAAAAATATTAAGCTTTTCATTCTTAAGCTCAAGACAGATTTTATCACGGATAACTTAATTTACCTGTAAATAATAATTCGAGAGGTCGGAGGCAAAACCCAGTAAGTATATTTAAATAGTTTCTGTATTACACTCGACTTTACCCATTTCCAGTTTTAAAGGGTAAGGGTGCAGTGAAATTATACGCATGGCACTTGTCAACTTATGTATCAGGGTGACGGACGCAGTGCACTGTATCAGATGCGATTTAAAGCTCTGAGGTGCACTGCAACTGAACAGGCGTGTCGCTTACCACCAGACATCATCATTTCAGCCGAAAGACGTCCATTGCTGACGTCGCTTGCATTCAGCGGGTTTCCGTAATCTTCACTAGGTCATCAGACCACCTTGTGGGTGATCGGTAGCCACTCGATAACTCTTCGGCTTCATCGGCCAACTATTCTACGAGCAATGTGCCCCGTCCACTGCCACTTACGTTTTGCAATTCTTTGACTACTATTTATATGGTTTCCTTGCATAGTCGAGCACAGCCCTTCCCATTGCCCTTTGTGTGACCTTGAGCCTTCTTATGAGGCCCATTTTAAGCTACTACGTCTCAGTGCCGCAAATTATCACTGACAACACTTTTGTGTCGAGATACTTGATGTCACAAAAATATATATAACAGATTTGACGTTCATTTCAACAGGTTTGGGCTTGGCCTCGGATCCCTTGACATTTTCTATATTTAAATAATAAATAAATGGTCTCTCCTTGAAGAATAATTTATTTTCATATTAAAACAATATACTTTCAAAAATTACCTGCTGTTAATATACACGAAAATACAGATCAGACCAGTTTTTTTAAAAATAAATATCTAGATTTAACCATATAATTCTTCTATCTATAATATAACATTCGAACTATTGCATTCATAAGACGAACCACTATAGTTAGGTACATTACAGGGGTTCTACCGAGATATCTTACGAAATAAATGACAATTAATTATTCATTGTTCAAAGTTCATTGCCCTCGCGCTGATTTGGCACCGTGTGGTAAAAATCTCAATAAAAAACGATTGGTTTTTATTTATCCAGTCGCTTTCAATTGCATATACTGAAGTGAACACCTTTGTATGCAATTCTAGTTATCGTTTCGTCGCCTAAATGCTGATCTGGACCTAACTATATATATTATTATTATTATTATTGTTAAATATAGTAATTAGTTAACAAACATTACTCCAAACTCGTAATGGTCCAATGGATCAGCAACTTGGCAAATTTTTTAGTTTTTTTTATTATATCACAATTTTATCTTTACCACACGATCCTAAAGTACATTTTCTCCCAAGCTTATCTCCATAATATTGCCTTTCCCATTCCACAATTTACTAATGCCTACTCTTCACTAACACAGAGTAACAATTTCATATACATAGCAGCCGGTAACTATACACTATTGGACTAACTAGGAAAATAATTTTTTTTTCATAATTTATTGATTCTTTGTACCTAACCAACGACCTCGGAGAAGTCGGCCATTATAATGAAAATATTAATGATATCTTCATTTTGGATAAGGTCAAGCGGGGCAAGAGGAACATTCAGTCGAATGTTTTGAGCTCCCTAGAGCTTTGTTTTTCCTAAAAAACAGTACGTCTTAAAATAATTTTGAAGAAAGTGAACTAAACTTGGCTTTGTTTTTCAGCTTTATATATTTTAACAATCACTACGCTAAATTCAATCCTTACAACGTATTTGCCGAAAACATGCAAATTGTTCTACCGTCTCTTCCCTCAAAAGATTTTGTTATAAAGGTAATGTATATACCGTGTTCTCTAAATTGCACAAGAGTCAAATTTGTTTTTTCCGCCTTCGGATTTGGAGCATCGTAGCGACATCTCTTTAAAATTGTTTGAACTAATTTGTCTATTTCATCGACTGAGAGACTGTAGTGCTCTCTTTAGATTATGAGTTAAGGCTTCCTTCTTCCCTGGTGTTCTTTTTACCCCACCTGATCATAAAGGAATTTTAAAGTAATATGAAAATTCTTACACCAGTTAGTCCAACAGAATGAGTAGAAAATACCAGCCGCATTAATGATTATTTCGAAATAATCGCTTATGAAGGCACTAGAGTCCTAGTGAATTTAAAAACATTAACTAAATAAACTAAGATAGATTCGAAATTTTTTACATAATAATAATGGCTACGTGTTTCAGAAATATTTCGCAGTCTTGCCATTTACAATTTGATTTTTAAAAATCCGTGTATTCTACAAACTTTACACTATACTGTAATAATACGTGATTTAGGGCACCTTCAATTTAAACGCAAAGAACCGCTACAGTGACACTGCAGCCGCGTCAGTATTATTTTTCATACAATAGTTAGAACGCAGTTGCAGTGCCACTTTAGCGGTCCCAATTAGTGAATTAAAAATTACTGAAGCGCTATAAGCCCAATACTCTCATTATTTTAGTAGTTACTTTAGTAGCAGTGGACTTGTTGTGAAAGAGTTCGTCCAGGGAAGTACTGCCACCTTACGTATTTCTTCCGCCAAGCACTAATGTCAGCATTACTGCTCCGGTTTAGAAGGGTAAGGGTACTGGTGAAATCAAGGTGACTGGCGCACTAGCAGTGCCCCTAAAATCTTTGCAATTTAAAGCTCTGAGTGGCACTGCAACTGTTATGGATAGGCGTGTCGCTTACCACCAGGCGACTTGTTCGTCCCGCCACTTGGGATTATAAAAAAAATCTCCGTCGGAAACAATTACTTTCAAGTAAGTAATACTCGACCAATCTTAATGACGCATTATGCGAATTAAGCTTCATACTTGATATTGTTTTTCAATTTGGTGGCGTATTACTTATTTCACAGTAGGTAGCTATTTTGGACGGATAACGAAAGCAGATCACCAACTTCTTCTACAAGCATCTAATATGCAGGCGCTCTAAATTTCAATTGGTACATGGTAGTGCACACAGCCAAGTTCATATTTCTGAAACACATAATATTTTTTATACGTTAAATTTCGGGACACGACAACAGTTGAATTTCGATCACGTGTACGACTAAATAAACTGATGTTATTGATATGGCTCAAACAACTATTGACTATAATGAGATTTGAAACTATTTGTCTTTTCTAAAATACGCTTCTTAGACCTTGTCCAATGTTTCTCAGGGCCATGATACTTATTTCTCGAGTGATTTGTTTTAGCAAACAATTGAAACTTTTCTATTTTAATAGTGAACTTTTTAGCCACTCATCCGAAATAGGTATAATAATTTCTACAACAATATTAGTAACCTCTCTCCTAAGTAAACAGTTTGAATATTGATTGTTATTGAATGTCATGTTTTACTATCATGATATTTATTTATTTTTTGTGAAACTAGCCCAGTGTTATTGCAAAGATCGGATGCAAAAAAATTCTTCAATGTAACTCGATACTGTAAAAAATAATCGCTCTACTGACTAAGCTTCAGAATGAACCTTATGAATTTCTCAAAGTGTTTCTGTGTCTTTTGAAATGAGTTTTTTCGGTTTTTATCATCGTAAAGATTTTTGCTTTGTGTTCGATTTTACAGTTTTAAGACTCCAAAAGCTTATGCATCCAAAATAGGACGTAGGAATAGTATAACAAAAAATAACAAATATTGAAAAATAATGTCGGCATTTGTCATTCACATAATTTTCTGAATCATTACACTTTTGTTTACAACAATTTTGGTTATTATTTAAATTTTTATAACGGCTATCTGTATTGTCCATCGATTTCAATGATCTACACAAAACACCACTTTGAGTAATTAAGAAAAATCTTTAAACACTTTTCTCAAAGATGTTGCTGGTCACACCCTGAGAAACCAAGGTCTCAACATCCACACTAATTTCGCGTTTATTTCTCGTTGTCAATAAGCGAGATTCGTTCCAACAAACATTATTATTAAAATCTTAATTAATACTGTTTCACATTACAACTATATGGATAAAAGAAATCTTATACTGAAAGGACGTTAAAGAATAGAATTCTCATGAGACACAGATTTTTATATTTCTATAGATGTCTAAATTTATATATTTAATTTAATTAATATATAAATTCAACTCAGATAATTTTTATATAATAATAGATAACGTCAGATAGGTGGGACACGACAGTGCGCGGCCAAGTTCTCAATGCGTTGATACCGTGAAATATTCTTAAACAAATTCTGTGTCTCAAATTCAGATAGCAAATCCCGAACCTCGATACAAATCTGATATTTTGTTTTTATATTAGGCAGTATCGTGTTAAGACTTAGACGTTAAAATATTACAGTGATACGTAACCTAATAATTGTTGTTCGCAATACTCCTTTTTGGCCGACTTTGGGCTTAATAAAGTCATTTGCCCTTAGTATTCTTATTAACATACAAATTCTTTCCAATTTAGGTATCGTAACTTGCGTAATATACGCGATAACACGTCTGAGCCAAATTTAATGTCACTAAGATCATATCTACTTATTTATACACCGGAATAGGCACGGCAGTGTCCGGCCAAGTTCGGGCTTCAACACGTCGTAATATCACTTCCGTCTTGACTTCACAAATCACTCTAAGCTTATTTGAGTTGAATTTTAAACCTATGAAATGTTTAAATACATCTAATATGATTCAGCCAAGTTCGACTAAAATTACAATAAATTCAACTTTGAATATTTATACATTTATTCTCACTTACGTGCACGGAATATTTTTATTTTTATTATATATATTTAAATTCAACACAAATATACCTAGAATAGATTAATAATTATAACACCATTATGTGATCGTCTGTTTGAATTTCACTTTGTCTCATTGCACCCCAAGAGTCCATTCTTATGGTTACACATAGGTTTCCATAAGAGTACTAGTAGATGGACCCTAGAAAGATGCTTCAACTAAATATGTTCCATCCATCGCCACACCAGTCTGGTTACCCTGGACCGTGCTCCCAGCAGGAATGTATTTACCGCACGCTTGCTGCAAATACGTAAAAAATATATTAATTTATTTATTACATTCTGGTTTATAATACATTCTTATATTTACAGGCCATAAAGTGCATATTGCAATAGTATAATATATACACGATTTACTGTTTAGTTACTTGTACACTCAAAATAGGTACAATAACATTATGTACATTTAATAACATAACTGTATTTCATAGAGTGTGACTACAAGGGACACAAAAGAAATGAGAGTATACAATTCCTAAAGTACGACCAAATACAGTATATACGTGAATTGTAATTTCTTATATTACACAACAGTTATTGGCCTACCTAAAACATCTAACTACTCCAACTGTACTGATACACATTTGCTTAAGCTTACATCAATGAAGAAGCGAGTTCAACGAGGTTTTAATATCGATAAAATAGACAGCAGAATAGACATCGCTATTAAATAGTCTGTAGTTGTTCGTCAACCAGTCGCTTTAAAATATTACACGTGACATGATGTACCCGTCTTTTGGTAGCGTGGACTTGTTAATGATCTACGAAGTTATTCTATCGACATTAATACCTGATAATGGATAAAAGACACTAACACGGTGTAGGGAAAGTTGAAAATTAAACAAAACAGAAAGGGTGACATTTAGCAGTGTATCGTGTTATGGTTTTATGTGTGCTCTTATACATGCCAATTTAAAAAAATAATGTATTAAATTTGTCAAAATATGTAGACCCATTAGTGTGTAATGTAGGCGTGGGTAAACATAACATTTTTTAATGTGTGTTTTTTGACATTGTGAATTGTGTATGATTTTGAAGATGGATGTCGATTTTAACATTTCATTATAATTACTTACATTTTTATACTGATTATAGTCAATATAACTTCCACTCTGATTTATGAAAAATCTGTAAGGTCAGGTGGGGTATGAGGAACATACTTTATTTTGAGTCAAGTGTTATAAGAATTATGAAATACATTAAACTTGGCTTTGTTTATCACTTTACATGTTTTAACAATCATACCCTAAATTCAATACCTACAAAGTATTTGTCAAACGCACACACTGTGCTAACGTTTCTCTTCCCCGAAAAATGGAATAAGAAGAATGGTCATCGTATTTCCTATAAAGGTTATGTATGTTTAGTGTTTGGTCATGGAAAAATTTCCATTTTGGAAAAAAATATATTTTTCAGAAAAACAAATAGTTTTCCTTTAATTTTCCGCATTTGACGTTGACACCTGTCAAAAGTTGAAGTTACTGAACGAAAACGGTGGAGCCATTAAAACGCTATAACTTGGAGGCGAGAGTGAATAGGCATTATTTAGGTGTGCGTGCTACATCCTCGACCTCATCGTCACTTTCCATCTGGTGAGATGGAGGTCAAATGCGCAATTATTTATATAAACGTAGAGAGCAATTATATTTTTCCAATTTTTCAAAAGTTCATAATTTTTCGGCAATTTTTCGGGAAAAATTTTCACTATTTCATATTTTTCGGAAAATCACATCGTATTCTCAAGATTTTACAACTATCAAATTTGTTTTTTCCGCCTTTTGAATTTGGAGCATCGTAACGACATCTCTTTAAAATAATTTAATTTGTTTAACTGTTTTATCAACTAAGAGACTATAGTGCCAAACTCTTTAGATTAAGAGTTAAGGCTCCAAGTTCCTCTTTCCCCGGCGTTCCTCTTACCCCGCCTGACCTTATTGAATGTATATGAAAAATAATCAGTATATTTAGAGCTACCGCAAATGCGAACATGGCTGACTTCGCACGGCTTTTTCCATGCTTCAGTAAAAAATAGCCAAATAACCAATGTGTGCAGTGTGTTGGCATTATGTTGAAACGTTTTCGTAAAAAGATTATTTTAGTTTCAACAGGGAAATTGCAAATTATTTCTAAAATACAACGACATCCTTACATCGTGAAACATTTACAACACCTCTGGATCTACTGTCCTACAAATTATGTCGCCTTAATCTTTTTAATACAGTTAGAGGTTGAACTACCAAATCATAGTCACCGGCTTCTACATTTAATGGATTTTGCTAACTTAGAACGTCATTTGTGAATACTTATGTATGTTTTTGAATCGGTTTTTTTTTAAGTAACTTCACGGGTTATTACACCTATGCGAGCCTTGATTAAGGATTATTGTTCATAAATTATTGATTGTCTTCTTCTTTTTCCTGTCATTATCCCACGCTACGTGTATTTTTCTTCCACTCTATATATCAGCCATAATTTCCATACTCACACCTATCTTATCCATGTCATCTTTCACACAATCAATTCATCTTTTCTTTGACCTTCCTCTCCCACTCTAACACTCTTCTCGTCACATGACATCCTTCCCTCCGCATGACATGTCCGTACTACCATAACCTATACCTCTCCTTTTCCGTCACTGGCGCTCCTTTCAAACTTCCCCTGATATAGGTACTCATTCCTTATCTTATCCTTTATCGTCACTCCACACAATCAACATTCACATTTCCGCTGAATGCACAGTTCGTACATCCTCTGTTTCCATCGCCCAAAATTCTGATCCATACAGTACGATAGGTCTAATCACGGTCTGTATATTTTCCCCTTTAACTTAAGGGGCATTCGCCGATCGCAAATAGTGCCTGTGACCTGTCGCCATCTCATCCATCTTACACTTATACTGTTCTTAACGTCCCGGTTTATCTCGCCGTCACTCGTTCTGTATCAACCAATATTATGTAAAATATATGCTCATAAATTATTGTATTAACAGATTATTTTCAGGTGATAAATTGAACATTAAGGGAATCACCACTCCCATCAGCTTGAACCGGTCAGAATAACTTTATATCTATTCAATATTTCACACGGTCTTTTTTACTTAAGCCGATTTCAATTTCAATCAAAATTAAATTCAAAAGATTCAAAAAAAAGATTCAAAATCAAAATTAAATGTAGAAATCAACGGCGGCAAGAATTATTCTTCCAACTGTATTTAAGTTTATAAAAAATGGCAGTATAAATAGAATTTTCTAAATAAAAACCAAATTAATTTTAACTTTTACTTTTTTTCATTATTAAGGTACTCTTCGCCATTTCTAAAGAATAAGGCAACAAAAAATTACAATAATATATATCATACAATACGAATTACACAAAAATATACAATAATAAACAATTTGTACAATATTTGCACCCCACATATAAAAAAATAATTTGCTGTCACAGTATAGCGTTTTAGCAAAAGCTTACAAAACAATTAAATTTAATAACGACGACGTTCAAATTACAAGAGTAATAATACAGAAAAAATAACAATTTATATCAAGCGACAGTATTTTGCAGCCAACACCCTGCAGACATTTAAAGCCTGGAACAATTTTGTAGGATAATTACCACACAGCGAATTTCTTGTCCCTAAGCAATAAAACCCCAATACAAAAAAAATCAAGGGCTCGTATTTCAAGCGACCCAAAAACAAAGGCCTAGTTCCAAAAACCTATCTTGAAATCGGATTCAAGACCCAAGACGTTGCGACAAAATTAATAATCATGCATCCTCGCGATCCAGAATTGAACAATTTCTTTTGCGGATCTTAATAAGTCCTTTTTGTTTAGGGCACTTTTCAGATACCATTTGACAAAATAAAAATACGCGATAAAATAGTAACAGTAGAAGTCCTTGTCAATAACATCGTCCAGAAATGTACTACCATCTTACTGCGTTTTGGTTTTGAAGGGTGAAGGGTGCTGGTGAAATTACAGGCACATGGGACTTGTAAACTTATATCTCAGAGTGACGGGCGCAGTGGCAGTGTTCCTCAGATCTTTGTAATTGAAAGTTCTGAGTAGCACTGCAACTGTTGTGGGTAGGTGTGTCGCTTACCACCAGGCGCGCGACTTGTTCGTTTCGTCGTTTGGGATCACAAAAGAAATCCGGAAAATAGTTTCATTTTCAATCAATTCCTATTTCTGATAATATTATATTCTTCTACCTACCACTTATTTAATAACCTCTTAAAAACTTTAAAACTATAAACATCTTATCCCCAGAAGTAAAGCTGTCTACAGATGACCGTTCGCTGCATGGTAACACCATCTGACATACGGGTAGCGGGTCTTCACTGGCCGCGGCCGAAACCGACGTGTCTGACGGCCGCGACGTCGCCGTGTACCGCCGGACGCCACGCATGCGCCCTTTTCTACTCGAGTCTAATAGCAGGACCTGTTAGCCAATTGGATGTTCAACTTTTTGGAAAAAATAGACTTTTTTTTTCATTATAATGGTGTGTATGTGTGTTTTGTATAAAAACCAAAATACATACTAAAAAACAAAGGTTTTCAGTGTACAACGTATAAACGAAAAATATTACAAAACTAGCATAAAGTCTACCAATGAAAACCAAAGGAAATGATGAAAATGTTTAAATTTCTTAACGTATTTACGTCTTTTTACACAAATACTGATAATAATGAAAAATAAAACGAAAAATTTATTACAAAACCAAATACAATGTATAGATGGAAATCTTATTCTAGCTTTAAAACATACATTCGATAGGTTCGTTATTATTTTATCGTCATCTAAAGACATTCTACTAATCATACTTACCTAAAATTTTGCCTCAAAGCAAAAAGATGATATGTTAATCATGAGTACGTATTAATATTAAATCTGTAACTATATCATATACCAATTTTTTAAAGAGCAGCTCCTTGTCACTTTAAGAACGTCCAAGTTCTTTTTTGATATATTTTTCAATCCTACAAATGTAAAGTACAATCGACAACAAAAGCAAGCTCGATTTCTGGCTTGTCCACATAACATAATAGCTTATTTTGCGGGTCAAGCAACAACATTGGAGTTTTAAAAACACATTCGGTGACTTAGCGACACTTTTTTTGGCAAATAAGTAATTTTCAGTACGGATCTGAATAAAAATATCATAAACTGGTTATCAAAACATGTGATTGTAATCGTTATTTTAAATACATGAGCGTAATAACCGCTCACGCGATACATGCAGCCGTTGACGCATACCACACCTAGAGGTGATGATTTTATACCGATTTATCGGATATCGAAGTTATAACAGGTAAAAAAACTAATACTAATTCCTATTTCGGTAACTACTCTAGCAAACCATAAAGTTTTTAATGCCTGGGTCTGTCATTTAAAAAAAATAAACAACTTGAAAAATACGTCATGACAATCGTTTGTGTTATTGTTTGGGCTGGTGATTTCGGTGTTCATTTATTGAAAACATAGCGTAAGTAGCGTTTTTTAAGTTTACCCTGAATATAAATGTTTATAAACTATACTTTAAGGAGTAACTTCATGGTAAATGTTAGAACCACTCAAACGTAATATTATCATATTTACCCAAGTACCTACACCAAAAATTTCATTAGTGCTTTTTAAGTGCAGGATTTGCGGTGTATTACTGCATTTTATTTGAGATGTTTTTATTGTAGTACGGAGGGTGTGTTTAGCAATGCAGAATAATAATTTTTATTTATATAAACTTGTATTTAAACTGAATCCTTTTCTAATTTGCGAAACCAAATAGCCGGCATTTTGCGGTAAGATGAGCGCATCGCGTGAGCGGATAAAAGGTGGGTAGAATTATTATCGATTATGAAAAATTTATTCAGGTCCCCACTGTTTCCACATCGAGTGCTCAGGTAATGAGTACCTGCCGTCGAGGGCGTGAAGCCAGGCCTAGAGGGCTCACGCACCGAACAGACCGTCGGCGCTTCTGCCACCAAAATAACACCTTCACTATAACATATTCTTCTCTAGAGAAGACCCTTGACACGTACAATAAGTTTGTTCTCACAAATATTTAAACAATCTACAATAAAACAAAATATAGTGTGAATATTTGTAGGTTGGTTTTACATAATAAACTTATGAAAAGAAAACCACTGGTGCTGTATACTCGTATTATTATTTTATTAAAGAAATAGTAGTCAAAAGCCAAAAACTTTGTTGTTGCACTACTACATAAAAGCAAGTGTTGTAGTAAAAATTGTAAAAGTAGGCTTTCTAAGTCTACGGCTATGTAGTTAGATAAAATATGTCTAAAAATTAAGTACATTCAATTTCTTTTTTGTTTTATTTAACGCATTGTTAAGTTTTAGTAGCTACGTAACAAAATTTCATTTGTTTTACTCTTCTTCACCAGTATTGTAGATAGGATTTGAAACTATTTTTCCGGATTTAAAACGCGTATATTTGTTTTTTCAAACAAACCGACGTTTCGGGTCCTTTACAGGTCCCATGGTCACGGTTAACTGAGGTGGTACAGTCTTCAACCAGTTATGTCTAATATTAATGCAAACCACCCTATTTTTTCATGATAGTTACAATAGTTATTAATTAAATACCGTATTTTTAATTTTACAAAGAAAACATTCCAATTTACGCTACATTAAGTTTTACAAATTATTTTATTGAATGAATTTTTATTAAGTTTAATTTATTATTAATTATTAATAGAAATTAGAATAAACTAAAACATATTAATTAGTACTGCAGTCTTATGTCTATTTGGGATTTTTCATTAGAGGAAATACTGTAAAGGTCCCGAAACGTCGGTTTATTTGAAAAAACAAATATACGCGATTTAAATCCGGAAAAATAGTTCCATTTCCTATGTGTAACAATCGCGAAAACCTAAGAACTCGACAGTATTGTAGAATTAGAAACCAGTACACCTAAACGTAATTTTGTAATAACAAAAAAAATGCAATCACCTGATATTTTTGCGGGCAGCACCCGCATCGCGCGCAACAGGCGAGCAGCGCGGGCGCACGACTCGAGTGCGCAGGCGACGCCAGCGGTGACGGTGACCCTGGCCGCTTCGCTGCACCGTTGAAGGGATTCTCCATCTCTACGAACTCGCGGTCCTGTAATTTGGAAGGTTAAAACATTATTTACAATTTATACAGTTGACAACTCAGTTTTAGACTTGATGTTGAATCTGAGTTAAATATCAGAAGTCAAGACTTTATGATCACGCAACTTATTGCGGAAAAGGCATGGTGTTTATTTGTTTCAGCTTTTCGAAGCGAAACGCATAGCGTTTTTTTTTTCGACCTTACAGCCTGGACTTAAAACTTTTTCTCACCAGTGTAATACGATTTCGCGTCTACAAGTCTATTGACTCCCCTACATCGCACTGCTATTACAATAGTGTTGTAACTCAAAATAAGTGAATTTCAATATTATGTCATTACTGAAAGTAAAATTTGATTCTATACCCGTCAATAAAACCGTCGTTAGAATATTGTAAGAAATAATTAAAAGATATCTACTTAACTCTTTATGTCATCTAGATCAGGCCAAAATAGTCCTTATTCTAAATGTGAAATAACGTTTTCCATTTTATTTTTAAATATATTTGGCAAGTAGAAAATTGTTTAATTGTCTGTAATAAACTATAAGCCTTACATAAATTTCAATGATCTTTCACTGGAAGCGAGTAATTAGTTTTTCATCGTTTCTGAGAAGTAACACTTTTTGATTTATTACACTATTGTATTAACAGTGCGATATGTGAAAGGAAACCCGTGCCCAGCAGTGGGACATACAAATGGGTTAACGATGATGATGATGTGCAATGACATGATTGTTTTTGTCATTTTATCGTTGTTTGTCTGCGATTTCTTTGATACTACTCTGGATTATATAAATTGTTTAATAAACATGCTATCTGGTCTTGTTCGCTTGTTACCATCCGATACACGTACATAAAGTTAACTTTAAAGGTCTATCCACACATATCCGGGCCGGGCGCCGGGACGGGGCTGCAGTTCATACAAACTAGCACGCCCCGTCCACGTCCCGGGCACGGCCCTGATGTGTGTGGATAGTCCATAAGAGTCGATGAACAGTGAAATTGTTGAATCAAACACCTTGGAAAAAATACATAGTAACATTGAGTATATACACTGATTTACTACACGATGTGAAAACACGATCCTAAAAATTCACATGACAGAACAAAACACAACACTTACCTCGAAATTTTACAAGAAAACCGTTGTAGTCAATTGGTACTTTACATGTAACAATATTTTTTTTATATATCAACTGAACTAATCAGGACACGTATACTATACGATATACATTTATCGAATGCCTTTAATATCGTTTGTAAAAGAATAAATTCTGAAATAAAGCCTGTGTCCTAACGCTCGTCTTAAACTAAACCCTATTGGTACGGGAAAAATTTTGAATTCAAGCCGAGGTACTACGGGTCTTAATCATCAGTAATAAAAAAAACAATCACTAATTTTTAATAAACATACTCTAGTATTTATAGTGTAGTTAGTAGTAGAATAATGTAAAAGATTTTTAATTGAGCATTGCTTATCTTTGTTTATACATTTTACTTGTTCACTTATATGTACAGGCCACGCGAGACGCCATCTTGAATTATTGACTAAAGACGGTAGTATTATGTGACTAGTACCATTGACTTACAATTATATGGACGTCGGGTCCGCGCTAAATAGTGTCCGAACTTATAGGGCGTTAAAATCGTATACAGAGCGTCATTCACGCTTTAGTCTTCGTTTGTTCGACTGACAGCGAAGCAAGCAAAATTAGACAGTACTGCGATGACATTACAATTTAAATTCAACGTTTTAGCTTTTTCACATTCCTTTACATGTCACTACGTTTAAATAGGTTGTCTTGGGACATTTTTTTCGTGGTTTTTGTATTAGACCCGTCGTCCATTTATTTGTAAGTCAATGTGGACACTGCAAAACGTAACCACGAAATTCTCAAATCTTGTGGTTCAAGAATGTTTAGATGAATTTACACGAAGAGCATAAAGCTTTCAAGTCATATACCATACATACTTCCCTCTATAATTCTGTTTTCAGCACAGCCAAAATAAACAGACTGTCTCAAATAGAGATTTCACAAATTCACTTTAAGTAATAAATTGATGCTAGTAAATCGCATTAAATTGCGATACCTTCTAGGCCTCTTGAAAACATAATAATATCAGAATACTTCGGCAGTACAGTATTATTTTTAATGTGAAGTAAGGGGCAAATGAGCAGAGCTTGGTAGGAGAACATCGTTGTCCAAGGACATTATCGATACTAGAGTAGCAAATAAATGTAGGCCATATAAATATTTCTCAATGCCCGATAATGAAGACCAGCATGAAAACCGTTAGGAAACTACAAATATAAGATTATAGAACGTGGCTAGAAGACGTCGGTTCGAATCCGGCTGGATCTAAGGATTATTTTCTGAGTGTTCGATCTTTGTATTAATAATTATAACAAACTAGTGGAGTAATTTCACATAAAAAATAATTTAATATCAATTCAATAAAAATTTAAATACAATGAATAGCGACATCTCTAGCCAGGGCTGGTAGCTGTAAAGGTATCTAACTGGGTGACGAAATACTTAAGAATTATCATAGATGGCGCTACAGCTAAAAAGTCGTTGAATAAACCAAATACAAAGACTCGACAACAAACACATAAAAATTCGTGAGGTCCGCTGGTTCGTTCCGTGGCTTAATTGGCATAGCGTCTGGCACGGTAAGTTAGAAGACGTATGTTCGAATCCGGCCGAATCGAAGGAATTTTTTCTGAGAGTTCGATCTTTGTATTAATAATTATAAGATTAGACATTTTGGGGGGTCTACTCTAGTTCGCCGTTCAACTTTCGTCGAAAACAATGACTTTCGCATAAGTAATACTCGACCAAATTTAAACACAATCTCAAGTATGTAGTATGTATCTTTTATTTGGTCGATTATTACTTATTTGACTATCATATCTTCACAGGGCCTGGACAACAGCAGACGGTAGAAGGGATATCCATTCTCTCGCGGCGTTTAGCTTCTACTTCTACTGATAACTTAATTATTTATTCTGTAAATTGAGTAAACTAATGATACATTATGATTATTGTTACTTTTATTTTAATATCCTTATTTCTGACCCTTAATAATAATGCATGGCAGTTTTAAGCCGTCCTTCACTAAACAAACAAACGTTTACTTTGATGTCAAACGTTAATGACTCTTGGTTCTTAAATAATCTCAGTACGGAATACGGAATAGTTTGCCTCCCTTAGGGGTGGAATATTTTCCTCAAATTTGAATGAGACCACTACTGAGATACCCTCTGTCCAACAAAAAAAGAATCATCGAAGTCGGTTAAAAATAAGTGTTCTACGCTATGAAATTTTCCTTACCGTAGTCTTCTCCAAACACCTGAGTAGATGGTGATGCTGCAATTCGAAGATGTCTTCATCCCTTCCATCGTTGTCCAGCTCTACGCCCGATTCCTGCGCCGCAATGCGAGCCTCTGCGGCTTTTTTCTTGTTTACGAAAGCTGCGCCTGAAGATGCTTTTGCTATGCGAATGCGAGCGAGACGAGCTTTCTGCAATTTGGAAAATGTTACAGTTCAGAAAAATACACACTTGGGATAATATTAAGCCTCCCTAAATTTATAAATACCAACAGTAGGGCTCCTTGTGAAAGAGTTCGTCCAGGGAAGTACTGCCACCTTACCTATATCTGCCGCCAAACAGTAATGTGGCCATTACTGTGTTTCGGTTTTGAAGGGTAAGTGTGCTGGTGAAATTCAGGCACATGGGATTTGTCAACTTATGTCTCAGGGTGACAGGCGCAGTGGCAGTGTCCCTCAGATCTTTTCAATTTAAAGCTCTAAGTGGCACTACAACTGCTAAGGACAGGCGTGTCGCTTAACATCCTGTCACTTGGTGTTATAAAAAAAGAATAAACCATAATATGTTACGGCGTGCTTACTCTTCTTGGCAGGAGCGCTGCCATGTACCCAGTAATGATCAAATTCCTTGACAAATAAATGAATTTAGACAACTTGCTCTGGTCCCAAAGTAAGTAGAGGATAAGCTAGATATCCTCCGGTCCCTCCACGCGCTTAGGTTATTGGGAACTGAAGAGACGTCGGTTTTCGGCGTCGAGAAGTGAGCGTGTCTTACTGTTCCGCCACCAATGAGGAGATTTCGTAGTGGAGTCAGAGTCGTATTCTAGAACTCTACTCAATGCTCAAGTCAGGATTGCACTGGAAACACAAGCACTGGAAATACGACCCTAATGGCAGGGACTTGAATATGATTTCCAGTGCTTTAAACCATACCTAAATCCTGACTTGAGCATTGAGTAGAGTTCTAGAATACGACCCTCAGAGTCGACGGCTTAGCGGTGGGAACGGGCAGTGAGCGTGCCTACAGCTCCGGTACCTTTCTGGAAAATAGAGAGGGTACTGTACGTGCACCCGGGGCGGCTCACCCTAGGCACTAGCCTCTCGAAGAACCGGATGAAGTCAAGTGACAGAGGTCTGTGATAACCCAGTCCAGGGGCAGATCTGGGGTCATGACCTGAACTTATAAGGTTCCAGTGCGTGCACAGGTGTAGTGCCGTTCCCGCATAACCAAGAGGTTGATAGGGAGGGGCACTACAAACAAAACTTATGTAGAATGATATGGGTCTGTCCCGGCCGGGGATCGAACCCGGGGCCTCAGAGATGGCGATACCATGTCAAAAGTCAAAGTCAAAATCATTTATTTGCTAGATTACATTTAGCAAGATCTTAGTGTATAATAATTAAAAGTACAGTATTCAACCTATATAGGTGTGCAAATTTTGTTACGTTGTATACAATATCTTGACATCTATATATTAATATTTCATGTCTTAAATTCTAAGTATTCTCTGACGGTATTGAAACAGTGATCCATTAGCCAAACCGACTAGGCGTTTTTAAAATCGTGACCCCAGTAATAAAAACCGATGTGCAAGCCACTAGTCTTAGATCGTCGATCGCTGTAGTCGCTTGTGTAGAGATGCTAAGAGACGATACATTCACGATAACGTTGAGAAATGCGATTCCACTCAGATCTGGAAATTCCTAAAGTCCATTGGGATTGGTCGTTCCACTGCTTCTGGTGATTCGTCCCTTCCTGATCTTAACGCGCTTAATAGACATTTTTCCCTACCCCCTGTTACTTTAGATAAGCATCGTAAAAGCGCTACTCTTCGCATTTTGGCTGACTATACTTTACTATGTACCTCTTTCTCCTTCCCGACTGTTACCGAATGTGAGGTCAAAACCCATATTCTCTCTATTTCTTCTACTGCTGTTGGCAATGATGATCTCAGTTCCCGTATGATTAGCCTCATACTCCCTGAACTTGTCCATATCCTCACTCATGTTTTTAACTTCTCTTTAGAAGCTAGTTCTTTCCCTTCTCATTGGAAACTCGCCCATGTTATACTTTACCCAAAACATCTAACCCTACTTGCCTTTCCGAATTCCGTCCCATCTCCATTCTCCCATTTCTATCCAAAGTCCTCGAACACATTGTCAACAAGCAGTTAATGTTGTATCTTTCTTCTAATAAGTTGCTTTCCCCGTTTCAGTCAGGTTTTCGATCTGGCCATAGCACTGTGACTGCACTGTTGAAGGTAACAGATGATATTCGCCTCGCAATGGACAATGGTCTTCTCACTTTGCTTATACTTCTGAACTTCAGCAGTGCTTTCAACGCTGTGGACTTTGACGTATTGCTTGCTTCCCTTCGCTCTTTTAATATTTCTCCTTCGGTTATAGCTTGGTTCGACTCCTACCTCAGAGGCCGCTCGCAGTGTATTCGCTCTGACGAGGCTTCCTCTGATTGGTGTGACTTAGTTGCTGGCGTTCCTCAGGGTGGTGTTCTTTCCCCTCTCCTTTTCTCTGTTTTCATCAACTCTGTCACTTTTGTGCTGTCTTCAAACTTTCATCTCTATGCTGACGATTTGCAGTTATACCGCAGTTTTAAAGCGTCTGATATCGTTGCAGCCGTTGATGCGGTTAATGCTGATTTACGAAGCATCGCTCATTGGGCTGAGTGTTTTAGTTTGTTGGTGAATCCCAAAAAGTCACAGGCTATGATTGTGGGAAGTGGGTATATGCGTGGCATATTGCATCTAGATTCTGTCCCACCTATAGCGTATAATTCCACGCCTATTGCTTATGCTTCTACTGCAACTAATCTTGGCTTGCTTTTAGATTGTAATTTGGTTTGGACTCCACATACTAATGAAGTCAGTCGTTAAGTCCATTTATCCTTGCACTCACTTAAGCGCCTCCAAAACGATTTACCTTTAAACACCAAGATATGTTTAGTCCAAACATTTATTTTGCCCTTCTTAGACTATGCTGATTCCTGCTATTTGGATGCTACTGAAGAATTGCTAAATAAGCTTGAACGACTGCAAAACCTATGTATAAGGTTCATCTTTGGGCTTCGTAAATATGACCGAATTTCACATTTCCGCAGTCAGCTCAAATGGCTTCCCATCCGACTCCGCAGGAATTTGCATATTGTCTCCATTCTTTACAATATTTTACATAACCCTGTGTCTCCCCGGTTCATGAAAGAGCGTTTCAGCTTCCTTAGGTTCCAGGATAAACCCTGTCGCTCTCTTGTTAGGTCCCAGTTATCTTTTCCATGCTTCAATTCCGGTTTCTATTCTCACTCCTTCACTGTTCATGCGGTCAGACTTTGGAATGCACTTCCTATTACTGTTCACGAAAGTAAATCGTTAGCTATTTTTAAAGTGAGAGTTAAAGAGCATTATTTATCTACTATTCCATCCATATCTAAGGTATTATATTATAAAATATGTATTTATCTAAGTATTTATATAATTTATAACAATTTAATATTATTATATTATTTTTATATTATTTTTTTCCTTGTTTTGTTGTGCACATATGCCCGTTCTTTTAGTTATAGTGTCCTGTATTTAGGCCTGCAGGAAGAAATTTCTATTAGAAATAAGCAGAACCTTTTGTTTTTAATTTCGCTTGTATTCTTTGTGACTTGTTGTATTTTTCCTGTACAATAAACTATTAAATAAATAAATAAATAAAATCGTCAGACAATTACATGCTTCCATACCCTTTGAGCCTTTCGTTTGTCAGCTCGCTGGTTCTGATGGTAAATCCTCGAGAAGTTGGAGACGATGACAGGCACGGGCAGAGCGATCACCAGCACTCCAGATAGCGAGCAAACACCGCCTACGATCTTGCCCGCTATTGTACCGGGTACCATGTCACCGTACCTGGAATTTAGACAATATTCTCTATTAGGAATAATACACTTGACAGCGTAAGTGGCAGATCTGCCATTATGTTTAATAGTGTTATTGCAGTAAGTGCCAAAATTTATAATAGACTACCAATTGCCTTCGTAGCCGAACGGTACTTGTCTACTACGCAAAGTAATAATAATAGTAATAATAACGCACACACTCAACGTAGCCCCGCACTAGGAAAACCCTGTGTGTTGGGTGCCATGGACATACACATAGACAACCACATATTAATAACTCATGAGAGAAATAAATGTAGGCCATACAGATATTCGGCTATGATTTCCCTTGTGTGGGGCTATGAGTGTGTGCTATAACATTATTATTATCTGACATTATGAACATTAAGGTTACTGTGACATTTCAAATCAATGTATCTGAATACCTTGTTAACAATGTTCTTATATTCGTAAAAAAATTGTTAATCTAACATTTGACTCTGTAATAAATATTACTTGAATAATAATATTTATTTTTTTAATAAGTCACTTGACCCAAAGTGATAATTACAATGTACTTAAAAATTAATGTTAGTAACCACGGAAGAAAAAAAAACAATGAAGTGCCCTAAGCCTCGATTACTATCGGAACCGCTGTCGCCAAAACTCACACAAACAACTAATAAACGCTATGAAATCGTGATAATGATTCATAGTTTCTAATTTAAACAGATGTACCAAATTCTGGATTGTTAATATAATTTAAGAGGGAGCAGAGGAAAAATTCCCAATCTTCGATTTGATTTTAGAGGGGTATATCCACTTTAAAGTTAAAAATAAAATATTGTATGAGTAACTACACGATATATTCAAGCATAGACATTAATCAGAAACATAAAACAATAAAGTTTCCTCGATAGATAAAAATCACGAAATGACCTCTAATCTTCACATTTTTTCGATTCATCCTCGAAATGGTACAGGTTATTAGGACGAAAATTAGATAATTAATTATATTTATGCATGATCGAGAACTGTCACTACGGTTTTTTTTTAATCCCTTTAGTTTTAGAGTTATTCCGCTAAAACGAATTTGGTACTTTTAATGCGCAAAATTCAACATCTCCTGTCGCATGTCACGCGAACTTCAGGCATATATTTGTTTCACAAATTTGGGCGGAGCCAACGTCGAAACTTTTTTGGCATGAGAGCTCTTAAACTTTACCCAGTAGCTATATCGTTGGAAGTTCAATACCTTTATGCAAGTTACGGCGTTTTGATTTTTATTGAAATTTTATTCAATGTGCTGCCATCTTGCAGTCAGTAGCTGGACTACGAGGAACAATCAACATATGAATCAATTCGATAAACAGAAAATTGAAAATTTGATCAATGATATAAATTACTACCACAGGTAACATTTTTGGTATGGCTATCATTTTTGCACTCCAAAACAGCACAATAAGGCATTTCTCTGCGGTTTTATAGAATTTAATAAACAAAACCACACCATACAAAGCGAAAATGGCGGCCTGAGCTCATATAGGTCTTTCGAGGCCTAATTTTGGCACGCGTCAGACGCTAACTAATCAATTCTGTTTTATTTATTGTTCTGTATTAGCATCGAGTACATAACCAGAAATAGAGACGAAATTAAAACCATCTCTAGCCACTCATCAGGCAAATGTGCCTTATATCACTTTTAAACATCAACTCTCGTTTGCACAGAAATCACAAATTAGAAAGCTGAAATAGTACAGCGCCAACAACTGACCTGTGTGTATCTCCTCTATCTCCGTATATTGCAAAAATATTCTGTATTTATTGTAATAAAGATAACTATAGAAAGGTTTTCCATTCGACGGTGTCGGAAAAATAAAACAAACGGAATCGCATTTCGCATCGGTAATTAAATCCGTAATTTTTCAATTCTCGTCCACTATAGTAACGCTCAAGTTTTGAAGTAAAACAATTGACGACACCCGTCAATTGTTTTGAATTCGGGCTGGCCAATCGGAGCGCAGTTGTCACCGTAATGATTAGGCATAATAGTTTTCAAACAAATTAAATGACATTTCGTCTCTATTTCTGGTTATATACTCGATGTGTGTTAGTAACAATCACACTTGACATTTCGGGAGCATATAACTAAAACACTGCAAAAAAAGCATATCGCAGTTTAGGATTTATTCAAAGACAGACTGACAGTTGCTTCACCTGTATCAAGCACAAGTCCGGTCGTGTATGGAGTACTGTTGCCACCTTTGGAATGGCTCTGCTACATATCAACTGGCCACCTTGGATTCAATTGACAAGCCAAGAGGCTTATAGGTGACTCGGAATTAGTGGAGGCGAAGCTGCAGAGCCTTGAACACCACCGTAAAGTTGCCTGCTTATTGGTATTTTACAGGATATATTACGGAGAGATTGCGATGAAATTACACGATTTAATTCCGCCTTCCCTTACCAACACCAGGGGACTAGACGTAGGCTTCGGTGCCACCCCTATGTTGTGGATATTCCAAAGATTGGCACGAAGCGTTACGCTTCCACATTCATATGACGAACGGCTATGGAGTGGAATTCCCTGCCTGAAGACTTGTTCCCTGAATGTTAGAACTTGGGCTTTTTCAAGGCGATTTGTGAATAGGCATTATTTAGGTGTGCATGCTCCATCATCGACCTCATCATCACTTTCCATAAGGTGAGATGGAGGTCAAATGCACACTTATATTAGAATAAAAAAAAGACAAAGATTTTTATTAGTGTAAAGACATTAAAAATTCTATATAATGCGCTACTTAGAAGTCAATTAGAAAGTAGCTCTATAAAATGAAATCGCGAGGAAAAAAGTATAGATTAATGGTTGAAAAAATCCAAAATAAACTTTTTAGGCTTGCGTACTTTAGGTTTTACAAAGTGTATCCTATGTTCCTAAATATGTACCCGACAACATTTATCCGAGGAACGGTTAGCTATTACACACTCGAAACACGAAGGAACTTGGCTCTCGGTCACTTATGTATTTAAAATTTTAAATTAAAAAAAAAATTATTTTACTGTACAATCCGCAAATACTGGAAGCAATCTGCCTCCTCGTACCAAATACGCGCTTACGCCTACGGAAAGAATATACATACATTCTTTGTTGACATGTTATATATAAAATATAAAAAAATATATAAAAAAATTGGACATTTTTTGTTGTTCGATGTCGAGATTCGCAGAAGTAGCCCTTGACACTAAATGTCAGAAATAGGTATAAGAAATTGAAATGTTTAAACTTTTTATTTATTTTTTATTATTTGAATGAAATGTATTTAGTAATTAATTAACAAATTAATTTTAATAATGATGTGATTTTACATTATCGATTTGGAATTATATCTGTAATGATAAATGTGTTGTAAAATGTAGCATAATGAATAAATAAATTTTACGCATTTGAATTTTATACAGTTAAATTATTACAAAATGAAGTTTTACAAATCAAATTATTAATAAGGAATGCTTTTTATTGTTTGTTGAATTTTGTCTTTCTAGGTTTTTAATATATTTTGGGACGTGGTTATAAATTGTAATTAAGGCGGTGTGGGAGCCAGGCGTAACTAATTTCATATATCTACACACATATCATAAACCCTCTATGATGTGTTCAAAAACCGCAAATTACGACCAGCATAAAGATAAACTGTTTTGTTAGAACAAATTTCTTACCAGTGAAAATGTTATTATTGCTTCATTAATAACATCGAATTCGATTTTATTATGACATTCAAATTTCGAACATCTCTGAAAAACAAAACAATTTGATTCGACCTCAATTCTAATATCAGTCGAGATGAAGTTTTAATCGAAATTAAATGACAATTTTGACAAATTTCACACTTACTTGTTAACGAACGATATGATAGTCGGGGCCGACTCTAATTTGTCTATGAATTAAATAAAAGTTGAATGACGTACGTGGGAAAAGTTTTTATGTGCCGCCATTTCGCCAGTCGTAACATGCGGTTCCTGAACACTTAGGGTCGTATTCTAGAACTCTACTCAATGCTCAAGTCAGGATTTGAGTATGGTTTAAGGCACTCGAAATCATACTCAAGTCCCTGCCATTAGGGTCGTATTTCCAGTGCTTGTGTTTCCAGTGCAATCCTGACTTGAGCATTGAGTAGAGTTCTAGAATACGACCCTTAGAGAGCTTATAATATTTGTATAGATAAAGCAGAGTATGTAACTGTACGTAATTAGGCATTCCTGTTATTTCTTTTGTCATTCGTTACAGGTGAATATAATTGTGGGTGCTTCGTAACGAATTTACATGACTATAGTATTTGATACTTAATAAATGGAGGTCTACAAGATTCCATTTGGTCTATGTTCGTAATTATCCTTACACATTGTTTTGCAGTATTTGCAAAGTTCGATACCCCAACTTACTCCTTTTTAGGGGTAATTTTGAAAAACCATAAAACACGTGTTTATTTATTATGTATTTATAGTATTCAAACTAAGTTTGGGATAAATTGCACCACGCGTTAAAAAATTCCCATACAAAATTTAAAAGTCCATACCGTCCATATTCAACATTACTTGGTGAATTTTCAAATTCATCATTTAATGAATTTTCATTGAACTGATGAATTAATCACGAGTTTAACCAATGTGACAATTTCAAGTGTAATAATGCTTACCTATGAAATAAAGATTATTTTGATTTTGATACCCACAAACATATCCTCTATAGTTTCCGGTTCATCTTTTTGAATAAAATAATCTCGTGGAAATACATGAGGATAACCACACAAATATTTCATATAATAAAGTTGTCAGTTTTTTATTGTCCCAACGCCAAAAAGCATTTCATTATTTAAACTGTTGAGGAGTTTTCCACTTTCTCCAGTAAATTGAGACTTTGATTTTGTCTACACAAGAATTTCCCTACAAATTTAGTTCGTATGTCTTAATGCCAGACACCGGAGCGGGAAAAAATATTTTGCCAGATCAAATGGTTTATTTATTTACTATTAA